CTTCTAAATGCACCCTAATCTTCAGTACTAATACATAGTTTTAAACATATTTGATACATGTTAGTAAAGTTTTAAAGAAATTGTATATCTTAATAACGTTTTCCTTGTATTCAAGGATTTTTTCAATGATTAGAATGTATATCTCAAGGTGTATGGTGTGATTTTGGAATAATTAAGTTCATTTTTGCTGCCTTAATTAAATTTGTTATAAATTATACCACTCCAAGCTTCTTTTATTTATCCATTTGTTTACATAAGTGCCACTTCATTAAAAACATATATTTAAATTGTATCAAATATTTATTTTGAATGTAAAATGAGTGTAGTTTATAAAAGCAGCAAGGATAATTTAATTTTTATACATTTACAAGATATAAGTTTGAGTGTAATGTTTTAAATTGACAAAAAAAAGTGTGAGGTAATAAGATTTAAAACAGCATGTTAAAATATTATACAGTCATTTTATATTAGTATGATTGAGCCATGTATTTAAGAAAAATGTTGTTAAAAATTTCATTTTCATCGATTTACTATTTAAAATTTTGATTAGCGGTGTGTCTACATTTGTAGAAAACTAAGACTGGTTGCAAAAGGTATTTCTAATGAAAGTGAATGGCTTTTTTCAGTACAGCTGTAATGGGAATTTGTGATGTTTAAATGATTGAAAGAGTGAACTGTTCTATCTTATGTATCTTGTTTTGCCCTCTGCATTCTCAACAGTGTTATCTTATTTTGTCTTTTCTCCCTGATTCCAATTCAATATATCATCTGTATTAATTCAGAAATTTTAATGAGCGACAAAGATTAAATGTGGCTTGATGTTTGGAAGGTAAATTATCTAATTGAAAACAATATTGATATTCATTTAAAGAAAAGAACACATATACATATATAGACCTGCCCAGATGTAAACATGCTTTGTGTAGATTCACTTCAGAAAGCATTTTGTGTCTAAACTTTGAGTCAAATAAAATTTAATATCTCAGAACATTCCTTCGGTGCATAGAATGGTAAAAGTATAATTTAGGGTACCCCTTGGCAATTTTTGGTGGTACACGTATACCGATTTTGTGCAATTCTTTGACTCGTTATTTTGGCTCGTGAAGCGGCGATTTTTGCCCCAAAAATCGCCGCTACACAAAGCCAAAATAACAAGACAAACAATTGCACAAACTCGGCATCCATGTACATATCGACTTATTTTCACTTCAAAAAAAAAAAAAAAATCCCTGAATTGCTCAAAAATGGCATTGCGCACTCCTTTGACTTTATCCATGTACACGTCGACCTATTTTCACTTAAAAAAAATCTCCGAATTGCACAAAAATGGCCTTGCGCACTCTTTTAACTTTAGCCATGTATACATCGACCTATTTTCACTTAAAAAAAATCCCAGAATTGCACAAACTTGCATTGCGCACTCCCTTTACTTTGTTCATGTACACATCAATATATTTTCACTTAAAAAGTCAAAGAAGCACCAAATTCTACAATATAGGCAAACAAAAAAATGCATAATCTCTAAAATACATTTTAAACCAAACAATAAAATAACATAAAAAAGGAAAAACATGTTATACATTTAAGCACTACCAAAAGCAAATATTCACTTACCACGATTTTCGAGTTCGCTTCATACACCCAGAGCCACGTAAAAATCAAAATATCAATTATACTCAAATGAGTTTTTTCAAACCAGGTACTCTTTCTGATCGAACGCTTCGCATGGTGACCATCTGAACCTTTCTTCCTACAAAGCCATTCAAATCCATCTAAACGGTTTTTACGTTCGACTAAACGCATATCCTTCCTACATACAGGACACTTTTAATGGCTACTAAGTAAACCTTCATTTACACACCAGTCAATTAAAGCTCTTTTCTCCTTTCGCTCCAAATCATACAGAAACTTCAAATTAATCTTACTACATTCAGCCATTCTACCGTCTAAAGAATCAAACCATCCATTCTTCTTCCTATATCTGCAGACTAGTTTTTCTTCTCTATAGCTGACTAAAGTTAGAGTAAATATAAGAGAGTTTATTTTTGGTTTGGCAAAAAAGAAAAAGGCTACAGTCAAAAGTCGTTAATTCGGACCACCATAATCCGGACCTCAAAGCTACAAACTTGCATAAGACGCATGCGCATAAGACCTTTACGGCTGCGAATTTGCGTGTGCGCGTGCGCAAAATACGTTTACGAATGCGCGTTTAATGTATAACGGACGGTAAGCTAAAATTATCTATTTCAGTTAATGTTGCAGATTGCGTTGTTCCTTAATCTTCGAATTGGATCCGGCTTATTATTTTTTGCAGACTGTTAGAGCAATTTTATAAAAGTAAGCTTGAACTTTCGATTATGTCAAATAGAATTTCCGATATATATTTACTAATATGTAAAGGATCTACAAAGCGAAAGTATGTTTCGGAGTCCATTAAACAAAAAGTGGAATTGCTGCAAAAAAATGGATAAAGGCATATTCTTTGTTTATCTAAACTTTAACGTTTGTTTATCTAAACTTTGTTTATCTTTAATGCTGCGGGCGCGCGCTATGAATTGGAAGTTGATCTGTCAGCACTATCCTTATCTTCAGGGTAGATGTTTTTATTTTATTTGGCTTATAATTGTTTACTAAATGTAGTGTTTCATCTCGATGTACTCCGTCTTTGATATGATTTAAATCAAATGCCTTGTCATTATAATTCGCTTCCGATAGCGAAGAAAGTAACAGGTTATTGAAAACGAAAAAATTTCGATTGACAAATTAGTCGGTATTCTTGACACAGCAATTATAGGACTTGAACAGCGGAACTTTGTAACTGAACAAGAAATTATGTCTGTTTATAGAATTAAAGAGAATGTATTATCACATAAAAAACGAAGCAACTTAAACAACTTGCATTGAAAGAAATGTTAGAAATGTTTAACAAAGTAAACAAATAAGTATTAAGCTTTTTTTTTTTTGTAAATTTTGATACCCTTTAGATCATAATTGCTCTTTATTTCATAAATTATGGTTTCATATTTTTCATTGTATAATTTCTGCATGCCATCTTAGCAGATTTAAACTGATAATCTATAATCCGGAAAAATCGATAATCCGGAATCGCCGAAGTCCCGACGAGTCCGGATTAACGACTTTTGACTGTATATCTTTCACAGTTATTTAAAACATGCATATTTTTATTCAATTGCAGCAATATTTTATTGCATAGACATTCTGCAGGATATTTTTTTCTAATTTATTCTAGATATATTATTATTGGATAGTATAGCAGAGTTTAATTATTAATATGAAATAAAGGGTGTGAATTTGATTCCCATGAAATACTTGGGTGTATGTGTGTGTTCTCTTCCCTTTCACAAATGTAATATTGATGTGTCTCATATGGTGTGTTGTGGACAGTTTCTTGGGATGAGATAGCTAAATGACTGATGTCTTTAGCTGTTCTCAGTGAATACTTTTAACCAAACTTTTGGCTACTGGAGTAAAGAAATGTTATTATATACTGCATTTGTTTTTAATAATAATCTGCAATGGTTAAAAATATGGCAGCCCACAGGGTGGCTGTAGATTTATTACTTGCAGTTGCTCAATGCTTTGGTGTTTCAGCATAGGCTTGCTCGTGACAACATCTATGGGTCCAATCAGAAGTGCGATGCAAGCTTGCCCTCCCTCTCTTCCCAAAAACAAATAGGACAACGTAAGTTTTAAATGAAAAATCTAATGTGTTACCCACATGACTTCCTTGTACAGAATATTAAATTATATGCATTTTTTCTTGCATTTAATTCAAACTTATTGGATTGAATTAAATTTACTTCGTCGATAGCACATAAACCACAATAGAATAAATGCACTGTTTAAAATTCACTGTATTTGTTTACCATAGTGATACTCTAGTCCTAGGTTCACTTAACAGCATTACATTTCATTCATTTTTTAACTCAGAATGCACAAAATTTATAGCATCTAATCATTGCCACATGTTCTATTCAAATACTATAGTAAATCTAAAATGATGTATAAAAGAAAATAAGCAAACGACAAAAAAAAAACAAAAAAAAAAAAAGGTTTTCATAGACGATTCAGTATTTCTCATTCAATTAACTCAGTGTTCACTTCGCGACAAGGCAGAAATACATAAAAACTCCAAATGTCTGTATTGAAAATAATGAAGTAAATCTTAAACACTTATTTCCTCGAACAAATTCCAGAATGGATTAAGTATGATTTAATTAGCAGGAATAAAAGAAGGTGTTATCTTTGTTGTTGCAAAGCTTACTTTCTCTAGATTGGCAACAAATCTACTTCTGCTGTTCTGCTGTTTCAAATGTAAACAAACATGAACGCCATGGCGAAAATAATTAAGCTTAAACAACTTTTACATTGTTAATAATTTTAAATATATTGCATGCAGATTTACTAAAGGCATAAAAACCTTAATCAGAAGATAACAACAACATAATTCAATAATTTTTAAAGTAAAAAGTGCACAATTTACAAACATATAAGAATAAAGAAACTGAGATTAGTGAGCCAAGTAGCAGAGTGGATATATATATATATATATATGCATATATTTATATACTTTTGTTGTCATCGATTGCAACCAAAATACGAGTTGCACATCTTTATGTTATAGCAATCGTATATGCAAAATTTCAACATTCTGAGGCTACTCGTTTTGAGTTATGCGAGATATGTACGGATGCACAGACGTCACAAAAATTTCTCTTCAGAATTCATTTTAAATCAGTTTTATAATTTTTTTTCCTGAAAGAGTCCTTTATTCAGTCCTTAATTACAGATGTCATGCAAAAATAGCATTAAATTGCAGTTGAAAGCAGTCAAAATGGATATTTTCTTTGAAATATGGTGTCTGAAGTTTTTCGCAATTACAATACTTCCTTTTTTTTTTTTTTTTTTTTTTTTGTACAAGGAAGTAAAAATATGTACCCTTTTATATATATGAATGGAAAAATATTGAAACTGAGTTTTTCTAATATTGAGAAATATATATTTACTTACACATATGTATAATATTTGAAAAGGTGGTTTAAAGATTAGAGATTCAAAGAACTAACTGATCTTGGCTAAAATAAAAATTAATGAGTAAAAATGAATTTGAAATCTCCTTTCTAAAACAGAACAATTTTTATGAGTGTTTTTTTTACAAACAGAATTTTTATGAATGTTTTTGCAGTAAGGAAAAAAAAGAATCCCATTCCTTAACTGGAGCTAGTATGTACTGTTATGGCATAGGTCTACATTCACCACTATCACAGTCTCTGCTAATCAAGGAAGACTAACCGCTAAGTTTCAATAGATATTTGTAGGTACTTTATTCAGTTTCTCCTATACCCAATGAACAGCTCCATGGCAGTTTGTGGATGGTTTTGCCTGCTTGCTAACTGGCACTGAAACATGTTTAATTTTTTGGAGATCGATTTTTTAGGGAAGCCAGCTGAGTTCATTTACTCCAATTTCCTCAAATCCTCTCAATTATGACTTTCAATGTGTAAATTGTCATGCTGGAAATGGCAAAGACTTTCAAATTACTGTTATGGTGTGGTAGATAGCACAGATTTGTCCAGTATTATCATATAGAGTTCAACATTCATATTTTGAGGTACAAAAATCAGTGGACCAAGTTGAAGTTCAGAGAATCAAATCTGTTTCATAATTTCCCTTCTGCCAAATTTCACAGTTTAATATACTTGGGTAATTAATGCTCAACTGGGTCCATTATGCATCCATCAGAATGCTATTTAGCATGTTAACTTGATCTGTAATTTTACTTCATGCTCTTCCTTTGAGTTTTTCAAAGTCCACTGGCAGCATGTTTTGCAATATTGGTTATAATGAGCAGTGTTCAGTTTAACCTCATTTTCTTGTGCTTTAGCTTGCCCATGAAATCCAAGTGCAAACACCTGTCGACATATTATGCAAGTCTAAAATCACTTCCAGATGCTATTTGGAAGTCTATGGCCTCATATCATCGTGACGCTTACTAGTTTGACTTCAACACAGGTTGGAATGTTCATATTTATACCTGTCAATTTTTTTAGCTTGTATGGTTAATGTTGATGCCTATAACTTCTTCATGTTTCCATTGTACTATTGCATTACTTAGTGTTATATTTGTCATGTAGTGAGAAATCTAAGATATGAAATGACTGATTTAATGGCCTTCTGTGATCATGCACCTTTCAGCTTATATGTTTAGTTCTCATCATATGTCCATTTCAGCAGCTGTAATAAATAAATATTTCTGTTGAGCATTCTCTTTCTGTAGGCTCATGATGTGTTATTGGCATATAGATGATCTTATCTGGCATTTAGGGAGCATATGATTATTAATTATAATGTGGTGTGTTTTTTAACAGCAGTATCTATTACTATTTATTTTGATATTTTATTTTGCATTTAAAGGAAAAGTTAAGCAGATAAATGCAAAAGCTAACTAAATGTAAACATCTACATTTCTGTTTAATATCATATTGACCTGAATATAAAATTGCCTCACATATAAAATGGCTGTGCAATCTTGAAAGTATTTGAGAGTAAAAGATAGAGCCTGTTTAAGGTTACATATATATGAATTTTATATATTGAAAGTGTTCTGTGAGGAAAATAATGAAATGGTTTAAATATTGCATTTTGATGTGAAATTAAGTGAATATGTCTTGTTTTAGTATATAAATTAATTATCTTAAGTCATTAATGAGATTAATTATCTTAATGCATTAAAGACATTATCTTAATTCATTTTTTAAATTTTTGGTTATGAATATAAGAAGAAAAGTTTTCATAGATGAGCATTTTAAAGAGAAATTATCCGATATTCAGGTATATATAGCTGATTGATTTATCTGGTTTTATTAGGAATACATTTTCCATCAAATAAAAATGTATTTTTGATACATTGTAAAAATATTTTTAAGCAGAACAATTGCTGACAGTAGTGTACTTACAAGAGAATAGTTAAAAAACTTTTGACTGTTTATGTCATTTCAATAGATTACTTTTTACCTAACTTGGGAAAAATGAATCAGATGTATTAAGACTTGAACGTACTGAACCAGTCTTCAGCGTAGTGCCCTAAATATGATATATCACTTATTTAAGAACAGTTGTCAACTAAAAGATGCAGTATATTATCTCAGAAGATCCATTTTTTATGTAAATGACTGCAAGAGCTAAAACTTCAAGGGCATTCAAAAGTACCTGGCAAAAATATAAAGGCAGAGAGGACCGAAGTAAGTAAATTTTGTAATAGAATGTATGTGGAAGTGGCATATTGAAGTGGTTACAGGGTCCTATAAAGCGCTATGCTGTCGTAAATCATCATTCCCTTTCGAATTTCGAGCGGTGTGCATCGCAAACGCAGAAGAAACTCATTGATATACATTTTAGCCATGGGGCTGCAGAGGTAAACCGAGCATTTGCTCATAGGAGATACTCGGGAATCGTTCTCTGTACTTCCTTTGAGTAGCGTCTCCATTTTAGCCGCAGCTACTCAAAGGAAATGATAAAACATGGATGAGTTTTGAGTTCTTGTAGCAATGTATATTGCTTGAAAATCGCACAGACAATTAACAGTTTACATCAGAAGAGCGCCTTTATCTACCGCTCAAAAGCACCCTGCTCCATCTCATTGCGCCTTTTCAGCAGACATATTCTATTACAAAATCTGCTTATTTCGGCTCCTTCTGCCTGCTTTTTCATTTTTGCGATATATTTTTGAGGCCCCTCTGCATATCGTTTATGTTTGCTCATAGCTGCTTTATTATGAAAAGTGTCAGAAAGCCATTAAAAGAATCAGGTTTTGTCACTTTATCTAAAGTTCTATTTGGAAATGCATAGAGCTTAATTGCAACACAAATTTCTGACTCACTGTGTAAATATTTAACAGCTATAATATATTGTTGATTAGCCAGGCTAATTTCCGGGGAAGCAGGTCATAGATAATTGAAAAACTCACGTTATCCAAATTATTAGTTTTCAGGCATATTATATGTGTTCATTTCTTTAAAAAAATCAGTTGTTTTGTTTTCGAGAACGTTTAAATATTTTTCGAATTTCACTGCATATTTTTTTCAAAGTGCTATTTTATTGTATTTGAATCCCTTTTGGCCCACAAAGTCCGATAGAGTTTCAGCATAAGTCATTCCTAATCCAGGATTAATGTAATTTATAGTTTCTTCATTTGTATTTTTAGTTTCGCTTTCTGCCTATTCTGATATTGTGGCCCACCAGCGGCCAAGCGGTAAAGTCGCTGAACACCGATAATTCTGTCCGAGGTTCGAATCCCGCAAACGGACTGGCAGCGTGGGTGTTTTCGTGGTTTTCCCCATGTGTAACGTGTATACAAGTCAATTTCCCTTAGAAAGTCCTCCACGAAGGCGTCTCTTAGGCAGATAGCCCTAGTGTGCTTTGCCATAATTAAATACACCAACACCTGTTACTGTGATACGCATCACCAGAGCCAGATTTAGACTTGATAAGATCCTAAGCTATTTGAGATATGGGGCCCTTAATAAGTCTGTTATAATATATTTTAGTACTATTTATACTATATTTTAATTTTTTGGAGGCCCCCAACAAAGTGGGGGTCCTAAGCTATAGCTTCCCTGCGCATCACTGAAGCATTGAAGGGTCGGCTCAGACCATTCGTTCGTCGAAACATTCTTGATGTTTTCCTGATCGACATTTTCAAAACATTTTACTAAATTTTTATTCATTTTTGGCATCTATCTGCAGTTATTGCGCCGGTTTATCAAAATTAGATTACGTCGAATTCTTCACAATCCTTCTCCGATTTCGGTATTAGGAAGCATCTTTCTGCATGATCGAACTTATGCGTGTTTATTTTTTTACACACTCTCGCGCATAGCGTTAAATGTGCGTGCGTAGGCAGCGCCACGCATGGACAGTTCTCAAACCGGATAATCAGCACCCGTATAATCGAGAATACACTGTATGTGGATAAGTGAGGAATTATTGTCTATAAATCTAAGCGAAAGAGTTTTAAATGACCAGCAACTGAAATATCAAAATTATAAGTTTTGAGTACTTCATTTTTCAATATCAAATTCGTTTGAACATAATCTGTTTTAGAAAGTTATGGCATTTGAAGCAACAAAAGAAATTATTATCACTAGTGTGTTTTATCTACGTTAGTATTAGAAATTTTATTTTATAGTCTCATTTGCGCGTTTTTCAATTGATGGACTTTAAATGAGATTGTACCCTTCCGTTGACCAAGAATTTCTCTGTATCATGTCAAGTATATACGGTATTTATGAAGAACTTAAAAGAGGGCTATCTTAGAAAAATGTGCAGATCAAGGCAAAATGTTTAGCAAATTAGCGGGTGAAAAAAGCAGCACGCCATCTTGAAAAGATCAGTAAGCCAGCTTTGAAATTAAACATACTAAAAGAGAGAGGGGAGTTGCGTGAAAAGCAATTAAAAAAGCTTTTCGCACCTCAGGAAAGTAAAATATGACGGGCAGAACCGCTTTTCTGTTTTTCAAAATATGTCGAACTATTGATTGACAACAATTCCCAAAAAGTAAAATTTTGCTAGTTGTTTATTGATAGACTACCAAATTAATGTACAATAGACGTGGCTTAATGGGATCGCGGTTAATGTTTTTTAGAGCTGGGATATTGTTATCGAATTAGTGAAGCCCCTTTCCCCAATTTGTATACGAAAACATGGGAAATACGTCGCTTATTGTAATCAACAAGTCGGTTAATGATATCAAAATAATATAGAATAAATTTTTTAAACAGAGGTAATGTCGCCCTTATAAAAGATAAAGGCCAAAATAAAGCAAAGAGATTTCTAATTGACAGTATCGCCAGGTAAGGGACAAGTCGCCAAGTATCGTAATTTTATTTAAGGCAACATTAAAGCTCTTGAACCGCATCTCAAATCAAGAATTGTTTTAAGCATGCCAATTTTTTTATTGATGAAACAGAAGAAGGTGAAGAATTAGAAACGTCTCCAATCAGCATAAATTGCAAGGAAAAACGATTGGACGTATACTGGTGATAAACCTCAAGTTGCGGATTCATTGACAGAAGAAGGTATCCGCCATGTTGTTTTCTGAAACAAATCCAAACACATCATGTGATAAACTTTCTGAAAATGATGATGAAACCTGCGAATTTCCTACAAATGGTGAGATGAGGGATATTCTCCGAGTATTAAGATTAGGGGTAAAGCATCGGTCAAATAATTTTCAGTAACATTATGAACACTTCAAAAAAGGTACTTTTTGGTAAGAATTCCAAACACACTGTTAATTAATGACTTTTTTTTTTATATAAAATTCTGCGTAAGTAAGTATTTATAGGCTTTTAATTAAATTAATTACATTCCAGGGATATTTCGAAAAATATTTTTCTTATCGTTTAATGTTATCAAAATAGTCTTGAATAAACGTAACAGTCAGCGGCGCCTGCTGTACAAAAAATTAATCCGTTTCTGTATAATAATAATTTAACAGTTGTTAACGTAGAGATGCATAAAGTGGGAGTTGTATTACAGATGTTAGCAGTCGTATTGATTTAGTTTATTTTAAACTATTGAGAAATACACTGCAGTAGGCAAATCTGAGCCCATTTTTTTATCACATTTATGCCTTTTCTGCATCTTCATAGCAATTAATTTCGATGCATTGAAAATAAGGCAGCAGCAGAGAGCAAACGTGTTTCTAGAACTGAAGCGAGAGACAGAATACGACGTGTCCAAGATGAAATCCCCTTTCAAAATGGTTCGAGTTCATTGGTTAATATTAACTATTAATATAGCAGTGCTTTCATAAGGATTGCCCAAATGAAAAGTGGACAAGTTGAAGAAAAATAATACCTTTATTGTAAATCAAAAGAAATCGCCATGGGCGTTGAAACACAGGTCCCAGCGTTGCGGCAGCAGCTCGATGCCTTTGCTGTAGCAAGATTGGGGCTGATTTCTGAGGAAGTCCTGCACGTTTTCCTTCACTCCATCGTCCGAATAGAAACGTTTCCCCCTGTAAGGCTCTCTTAAGTGGCCCAAAGATGTGAAAGTCACAGGGTGACATGTCCGGACTGTACGGGGGGTACTCCAAAACATCCTAACGGAATGGGTTTAAGGTCCTCTGGATTTCCTGGGAGACGTGTGGGCGGGCATTGTCATGCAGAAGGATCACTCCTTGTGTGTGCCCGGCCGTTTGTTTTTTATTGCTTGTCGTGGTTTCGTCAGAGTACTGCAATATTATGGGGAATTGATATGCTCGCTTGGGGCAGGAACTCTATTAAAAGTGGTCCAGACAATCGAAGAAAAATGAAAGCAACACTTTCCGTGCAGTTATCGTTGCTTTCGATTTCTGTGTTGGAGGAGATGAGCTGTGTTTCCATTGCATACTCGTTTTCTTGGATTCGGGTGTGGGGTGGTGGCACCAGGTCTCGTCGCCCGCAACGATACGATCCAGAAATGCGGGATTCTCCTCATAACGGATCAAGTGCTGGAGACAGAAGCCCATTCGTCGTTTCTGATAATCACGGGTCAGGTGTTTTGGTATCCATGCCGCACACACTTTGCTGTACTCCAGATGTTTGTGGATAATGGTGTTAACCGTTCCTTTACTCAGGTTGAGTTCGTGACTGATTTCACGGGTCGTAACCCTTCGATTAGCTTGGATCATTTCATTAACGGAGGCGGTGAAATCATTGGTGATCACTTTGTTTGCTTGGCCGGGTCTCGGCAGATCCGATGTCGTTTGCCGCCCTTCACGGAAACTTTTACACCATTTGTTTACAGCCGTACGACCTAAACAGTGGTCGCCATACACTGTCACTATT